CAGACATCCTGGAATGCGAAGTCAAGTGGGCCTTAGGAAACATCACTACAAGCAAAGCTAGGAGGTGATGGAATTCCAGTTGAGCTATTTTAAGAGGAGAGTGGAAAAGTTGGTTTTAAAGCTCAACATTCAAAAACTAAGATCATGACAAATGGCTCCATCATTTCATGGCAAACAGACAGGGAAACAATGGAAACAGTGACAGACTTTATTTTGGGGGGCTCCAAAATCACTGCAGATGGTGACTGCAGCCATGAAATTAAAAGATGCTTGCCCCTTGGAAGAAAAGTTATGACCAACCTAGACAGCATGTTAAAAAGCAGAGACACTACTTCACCAACAAAGGTCTGTCTAGTCAAAGTTATGGTTTTTTCAGTAGTCATGTATGGATATGAGAGCTGGACCATAAAGAAAGCTGAGTGACGAGGAATTGATGCTTTTGAAGTGTGGTGTTGGCAAGACTCTTGAGAGTCCCTTGGACTGCAAGGAGATCCAACCAGCCCATCCTAAAGGAAATCAGTCCTGCATACTCATTGGAAGGACTGATGCTGAAGCTGAAACTCCAATACTTTGTCCACCTGATTGGAAGAACTGACTCATTTGCCAAGACCCTGATGCTGGGAAAGATTGAAAGCTGGAGGAGAAGAGGACAACAGAGGATAAGATGGCTGGATGGCATCACCGACTCAATGGACATGAGTTTGGGTAAACTCCAGGAGTTGGTGATGGACAGGGAGGCCTGGCGTGTTGCAGTCCATGGAGTCACAGAGTTGGACACAGCTGAGCAACTGAACTGAACTGAACTGATGTATTATAATGGAAGAAAAAATTATTCTACATTCCTTTCAACCATAAAATTCCCTACTTTAGTTATAACACAGTTTGTAAGTTAGCATAGTAAGAGATCAAGAGAAACAGATCACTCAAAGCAGAACAGTTATACATATCCAAAGGTGGAATGAACTTAGTGAAGATGTAATAAGTTAATACATAGTGGGGATTTTGTCTTTGGAAATGGATACTACATGGAGCTGATATTGCAAAGTGATAATATTGGGAACAGTATTTAAATACCGAATGTGTGGATAGAATCGATCACATATATATCTTCCAACCCTAAAGTACTATGCTCCTTGATACTGGTACAGTCTTTTGCACAAAATCTTTCCCTGGATTTCTTAGCTCTTTCTGCTAAGTGTTCTTGGTTGGATTATTGATCTCTACAACCTAATTTATGTCCATGTTTGTTCTTATCTTACCCTTCCCACACACATAGACATTTTCACTCTTTACTCCTGCATTCAGCCACTTACAGCTAGTACTAATCTTCCTTCTTACCTGGCTGTGGCCTCCTTGTTTGCACTTATATCCTACCATGGCCCACATCCCAAAATGACAATTGTCAGACATGAGTCAAATTAATTTTTACAATGATGACTGATTCTACATAACTCTAACTGACTCATTTTTCTTTAGGAAACAGAGGTGAACTTTTCAAAGTTTAATATATTTAGAGTAGAGCTAAGGTTCCTTCTAGCTCTCAAACTCATGTGTTGAGTTATGAGCTTACCCAACTAAAACAATCCTCCAACTGAGTTCTGGAACAAATACAAAATAGAACAAAAGAGTTTGACAGTTGGGATAGTAACACATCTTTTATACTGATAAATCTATTGAAGAATGTGATTTACATATTTGGTAAACTGGGATTCCTAATACTGGACATCAGATTTAGACACTTTTGCCCATCTAGTCACAAGCATCATCAGACCACTACAGGCTTTAGGACATAGAGTAGCAGCATAGAATGCATGTCCCTGGTCTAGGTATGCTTCAGAAGGAAAAGGAGGGCAAAGAGATGAACTATGCTGCCTTAACTTCACTCCCCATCTCACAATCAGCAACTCTTCCTTGCTACAAAGGGAAGTATAATGGATGAGACAAAAGCCTAGAAATAATTGGAAATCAGAGGAGGAAGGCAGAAGGGCCTCCCTTTCCCAGAACCAACGATTATAATTAAATAAAGAGATAGCATGCAAGGATGTAGATTATTCACCCCTAGTCACTTGAGGGCGATCATGTCAAGACTGGTGTAGGTGAGCAGTGAGAGAGGTCCAGGGAAGAGATCTGCGAGAACAAACATGTGTCACTAACCACCTCCTACATAAATACTCTTACTGATCATCTAGCAGGACTATTACCTGTCATATATTATTCTATTATCTAAAAGTTATGTCCTTCTATTATCTTATTTAAGAAATTCTCACTTAGCACTTAGTCTATGCCAGGCTCTGAGACACAAAACAAAATATAATGGGCCCTGCTCTCAAGGAGTTTATGTTCTAGAAGGCAGGAGTTATAAAGACAATTGTCAAGAAACAACTCATATAAATCAGGAAAAGAACTATAACCAAAACAAGCACATGACATGAAAGAAGCCCAAAGAAGAACTCTTAAATCATGCTAGTAAAGGCTTACAGTGAGAAGGTGATATGTATCCTGGGCTCAGAGGATGATTTAGAGGAATCACAACACAGGAAATATGAAGGGAACAATATACATAACAATGAAAGGGGCACAGGAGAACACAGGGCATCTGAGAATAACATTCAGTTCAGAGGGACGTGGTAGATTTGCTTTCTTTTTAATTTTAGAGAACCTAAAATTGGAAGTTGGATAGCTTCTAGTAATCTAGCAAATAATCTGGGCAAGAAATAAGGGGAACCGACAACAATAAAATGCAAACAGGAAGGGGTAGATTTGTATGAAACTAAAGTGTTAGAATCAGTAGGTCTCTTTGGAGGAAGCAACGCGGAGACAGAGGAGTAAAGGATTACTTCTAAACTGTTAAATCAGTTGCCGCACTGGACAACTTAATCTCCTAAAGCAGAGTCTTTCCTCCAAAGCTACTTCACTCTGTTTGCAACCTGTACTCCCCCAAAAACTACTTACCAAAAAATAAAATATTTCAGACAGAGAGTCTGGCATGTGCAGAGTTGTATGCCTGTGTTGTGCTAGTATCACAGCCCTAAATATTAACGAAGATCAAGAGTTAACTGCATTTACAAGGTCGATATGAACTATATGCATCCTCCTTCCTCTTCGTGTCATATTATAATCACTCAGATCTTGATAATTAACATGACAACTGACCCTTTGACAATCATATTAAACTGGGTGACTTTTTCTATCTCCCATACGACATTCCAATTACATATGTGATAGGGTATGGAAGGCTTTCTCCTTTATACACTGGCTGGGGCTAAAATATTTGGGGTGTCAGATGGCATCAGGCACTATTCTACATACAGCTCAACCTAATCCATACCCACAGTGGAAAGGATGTCTGACAGAAAATCTATGGCTCAGGCTCTAGCATAGAAAACATTAATGCAAACATCCTCTGCCCAAAGGACTTGGCATTTACTACACTTTCTCCTGGAAGCACAAGGTTCCTGTGCCAAAGGTCAGGGGCAGAGGGATTAACTTTTCCCATATATTTTAGTAAGCTGTCCATCACACCAGAAACGCAAGCACACACACATACACAGACACTTCACTTATTGTAGCTGATTATGGAAAAGGTCAGCTGAGTGATTTGCTGCCAAACACACACACACATACACACACACACACACACACACATACCTGCTAACATTAGGAAAACAGAAAAGGAATGACCAGCTTTTAGATTTAAAACAACAAAGAAAATCCAGTCATTCCTGTTAATAGATTCTACTGCTTTCAATGGTTGAAATTCAAGGATGTTCACTTTTTGGTTCATCAGATCATTTATCCCCCCAAAACTCTGTAAAGCAAGAAAACAAAACAAACAACTGTGTGTTTACCAAATGTCAATAGATATTAATAAGTGAATTACTGGATAAACAATACTTTATGATCACTTCAACACTCCAAATATATTATAACATGTTTATAAAAATCTCTTAAGTAATCTATATGTGCAACTTAGCAAAGAATATGGCGCTTACCAAAAAATAAAATATTTCTTTCCTGGTTTTTCTATTTGCTTGGAGATCTAGAACAATGCATATATGATATAAAGTTAATATACTTACATATCACAAATGCTTTATACATTATATTAGATAAACATACATATATTTATACATGATATATCCCACGTTATAAATTATAAGGCACATGAAATGTAACATGCTGAAAATACATGTATAAGTGTAAATTTTTCTGAAACAAATTTAAAGTTATCATATGTCTATTCTTCTATTTTGTACATTCGTTTTCCCCAAAATTAAAATCTATCTAGGGTGATAAAAACATACACCCAGGAGGAGCATAAAGAAAGTTCTCTCATCACCACTCCTCCTTTCCACTGTCTTTTGAGTGCATTTTGGGAGTCCCAGGGAAGTATTTAATCACCAACCATGAGTGATGTCATCCCCTTCTGTGACATCCTGCACATCTGTTTCAGAGCACACACTGGGAATTTAAAACAACGTCTCCAATAGGGTCAGACAAAGAGGAAAACCTTCTTTCCTCCACCAATAGGTTTGAATGATGCAAAGCAGGTCAGGTTGGAAAGAAAAAAAGGTGCTCTGTAAAATTCAAAGCCAAGAAAGAGTTCCCATTCAGGTTGTGACAGAGACTGCCTTTAAAGAGCCCTCCCATCGGTAGAAAGTGCTGTTTTCCAGGTGATTTCACACGCATTTTTAATGCCAGTTCATGTCAGTATTGACACTATGTTTTGATGGTAAGAGGAATTAAAATGATTCTGAGAACCTGAGGTGGCTCTATTGACACATCAGATTACTACTTAATGTTTTAACAGCAAAGCAAAGTGGAGCAAAGCAATCACCCTACCATGGCTGGCTTATTAAAGCCCTTTTCAGCCAGGATGGTGTACCTTCAGAGGAAGAAACATCTCAAATAGAATCAGTAGGCTTTGAATGTAAAAAAAATAAAAAAGACTCACAATAACAGATTTCTGACCCTTTAAAGGTTATGTTTCTTCTTTTCAGTGAGACGATACAAAAACTGGCTCTTTATCAAGCTCTCAGAATTCCCTCTGTTGGGAATTTCTTGTCTCAAGAAGGAGGAGAACAAGCATAGCAGCTGTGGCAGGACCTGAGCTCCAGGCCAGAAGGCTCCTAAGGTCCCCCTGGAGAGCAGCAAGGATCTCTGGATCTGTGCTTTCAACAAGGTATGTTAGAGCAAGGGGTCTAAGGTGTGTAGGGTTTCATGAATTGTCACATGTGCATGCAATTGTAACTCTTAATCATGCAGAAGGGGCCTGCTTATAGAAGGTCAGTAGTACAATTTGTTAAGAATTATTCCCAAAGCTGAAGTCTACATGAGAAAGTACAAAGAACAATGAAAATTTAGCTCCAGTCAGGCCAACGGGGATGGTAATTCTAACATCCTCTTTCTCTCTTCTAAGACAGATTCTACCAAGCAGATTCTACCAAGAGGGCTGGGTATGCTTTCAGTGAGAATGAACCAATAGCCCTGTCCTTATCATTTTCTCAAACTGCCCCTCAAAAAAAATATGGTGCTTTGGTAGGCAACATCTGATACTTCATACCAATAGAATTACATCTCAGAATTCCTAGACTTGACAGGAATTACCATAGAATGGGAATTTGTTACTAAGATGTAACAATTCTTATTTGTCTATTTACAACTAAATAGTTACTCTTCATTTTTGTTTTTCAAGATTTTTTTTTCATTTGATTCAATGCAACCTACAATAGAAAGTCTGTTCACACCCAGGACTATGGGATTTCCAAAACATTTTTTTTCATCAGTGTGTTTATATATGAATCTAAGTGGGAGAAAGCTGATAATTCTCCCTAAAAGACATATTTTGAAGCTATCTGTGGAAAACAGGCAAGCCATTGCTCGCCTAGTGCTGGTAATCACAAAGCATTTTTCTGAAAGCTTTGTAAATGCTTTTTGCCCTACAGATAAGAGATTTAAAGTAGACAGAAATAAATGACAGGGCTCACAGTGACTTCCCTCTATGGCACTGCTGCTTGCCTAGCAGGCTGAAAACTCCAGGCTTTTCACAGTTCCTGTCAGGTTTGACTCTCCTGCTGCAAGCCAAGATGTGATGCAAGGAAGGCAGTGCGGAGAAAAGAATGTGAACAGGATCCTAGTCAGCCAGACTCAGGGCTGAACCCAGCTCTACACTTAATAGCTGGGAAGCCCAGCTTCTTCTATGGTAAAATCAAGATGATAAACCCTTGACAGATTGTGATTAGGAGTAAATTAAAGTACGTGAACTAGTGCTTGAAACACAGGAACTGGTTATTTCACAACTGCCACATTGTGAAAACAATCAATATAACAACTTTTATTTACACACCAGAGTGAGAAGTCCCACAAAGGATAACCTACTCATCACTTTACTTAGGCATGCATGCATGGTAAGTCGCTTCAGTTGTGTCTGACTCTTTGCAACCCTATGGACCCTATGTAGCCTTCCAGGCTCTTCTGTTCATGAGATTCTCCAGGCAAGAGTATTGAAGTGGGTTATCATGCCCTCCTCCAGGGGATCTTCCCAACCCAGGGTTCGAACACACGTCTCTGATGTCTCCTGCGTTAGCAAGCAGGTTCTTTGCCACTAGAGCCGCCCAGGAAGCCCCTTACTTAGGCATATATGCCTTCAAATTCCCAGCAGTATCAGCCAGCTTTTAATGAACTCCTCACTGCAGAAGTCATTGGCTATATTTTCTTCCCTAAATGCATTCTCTCTGAGAAAGAACCAAGATTGGGCTCACAATGGAATAGCTATCATGCTGACCGCCAAATTCTCAGCCCTGCTAAAGCTCCAGAGTATGAACAGAAGCTACCTGAACTAGAAAAAAAGTTTTAGGTAATTCTCATGCTCATAATTAGTTCAGTATGATTTAAAAAAAAAAAAAAAAAAAG